ACAGTTTCTAGTTGTGTATCAGTGCAACACCCATGAATGTGCAGGAAACAGGATGTCCCCAGAGCTGACTGTTGTGGTTCATAGGCTGAGAAATTGAGTACTGCTCATGTTGGGTGTATTTATGAAATACAGTTTCTAAATATGTTTTGGGACATTCTTGATGCAAAATGGTATACTTTTTATTTTTCTAAGGTTGCATTCAAATGCGTCTATTAAAGCAATTTATATTTCACCTTAACATTTCTGGTTAGCAGAAAGCTTTCTCATTTCTTGGAATTAACTTTTCACCTGCCTTACTCATTCTGTGGTCTCAGTATTCTGTGGATGTCACATGAAGAGTCATATTGCAGGTGATTGTAGTGAACAAAATATTGAGTTTATGATACCATTGATGGAACTGCGCAGAAAGAAAAGGGTTAGGAAAAAATGCTGCCCAGGCATCCTGCAATGTATTTTTTTTTTTGGAAAGGCAAGAACAATTCCCAATAACGTAGGAAAGACTTGGTCATGTTTTGGTACAGCTGAAGCTTTTCATAGGCACAGCTACTGTTGGCTTTCAAATGATTTGTATTTATTTATTTAGAAAAAATAGCTATAAATTAGGGCACAAGGGAAGAAAACCTCAAAAGCTCTAACATTAGTGCTTTGTATTTTCTTCTAAACTATTTAATCAGAAAATTACTTTGCTTGGAGAATTTCATTGCTTGTATGAATCCTGAATGTATACAGATATAAATCACTTAATTGTTTCTCTCCATTTATTTATTGTTAACCTTCTCATAGAGTTTTTTCTTTGCATATTGTAGTTTTTCTGATCAGAAATTATGAATTTTGAAGAACAAAATTATATGAGATCAGTTGTATTTGAAAGAGTAATACATTCACTTTGTTTGTGATTTAAATTTTAATCTAGTACTTACTTCCTCATTATCAGATTTTGAAGCTCTTACTTTTTCTTTATTCCTCACACTTTATATATTTATGCATGGTACATAAACCAAGAGAAGGAGGGGAAAAAAATCACTTTGCCAGAGTAAGTCAATATATTGACATCATTTATTTGCTATGGCTTCTGAAGTATAATGAAAAATATAAAACTTGATTTACAATTATAGGAAACAGGAAACAAATGTGTTTAACTGAAATACATTGGTAGTACTGCAGTTTTACACAGACATTTCTCTTTTAAATATATATTAAACTGACCTAGAACTGAGATTTGAGAAATGCTAGTTAGAATTAACGTGTCTGTTTGGATACAGCTCTACTCAGTAGGGTGGGGTTTGAAAAGGAAAATAGAAAGTAACCTGTTACATGCTGCCTTTCAAACAAATGATATTGGTTGTTTGCATATCACACTTTCAGGAGATACAGAAGACAGATGAAAAATCACCCTGTCTTGAGAGTGACGTCTGCATTTGTGTAGTTCTTGCTTCATTCTGGATTTTGCCATCCAAGGTATGTTTTTGAGCATGGCTGAGGTTTGTTTTGGTTTTCTGATTATAAAAGTGAATATGGTCATGCAGGCAAAAGTAAGTTACTGAGGGATAAAAATTTGGAATGTATTTTCTTGATAGGCATTCTTACTGTTTTCTCCTGAATCCCTCTCACTGCTTATTGCTCACACATGGTACAAGTAGGTTGCTCAGGAGCAAGTATTTCAGTAATTATATCTCTTTGTTTTGTTTGTTGAGCTGTTATTCTGAGGAAGTGCTGTGAAGTCATGGAATCTCTGCTGCTCTGGTAAGATGCAAAACAGATGGATTCCTCAGTGGTCAGCAGTGTTTCTAGCTGCATTTGGTTTTTTTGACCTCTGTATTTCTGTTAGTCTGCATGATTTTCCCTTTGTAAATTCATGGTGATTACTCCCAGTCCCCTTCTTGTCCTTCATCTGTTTGAAAGTAATTTCCAGGATTGTTTCCTTCGCCTTCCCAGGGACCAGGGTGAGGCTAATAGACCTTTAGTTGCCTGGCTCCTCCTTCTTGTCCTTGAAAACAGGATTTTCATTGACACTTGTTTTCTTGAGTCCTCTGGAATGTCATCCATCAGCATAAAACTTCCAAACTTAATTGAGAATGACTTCACAATGACAAAACCAGCTCTCTCAGCACTCAGATTGGCATCTCAGCTGGTCACATGGAAGTGATAGGTCCAGTTCACTTAAAAATTTGTTAATCTGATCCTCTCTCGCTCAGAGTAAGTCTTTTGTTTTCTTCCCATGGGTCTCAGGGACCTGGAATTCCAGAAGGCAGGTCTTAACCATGAAAGAGCAAAGTAAACAAGGTGCTTTGACATTTTTGTATGATTTTGATACTTTCAGCAGCAGGCTGGTGTTTTCTCTCTAGCCTTCCTTATGCTGCTCATATGTCGCAGACATCTTTCATGAAAAATCCTTTCTTAGGATTTTTCCTTGTGAGAAGCTGCAGTTTTCAGCAACCAAAGTAAACAATGGTTATCTGCTGCTGTGGAATGCAACAGGTGATTGGTCTCCTGTGGGTGTTTGGATTTCTTGACTACTCATGGCAGAGCTGGCTCTTGCTCTGTCTGAGACACAGATCTTTGTTATTCATTCTTTTCTATTCTTAGCTTAGCTAGCTGCTGAAGAAACCTTTTCCTTTCTATTGCTTTTTAGTATAGTCTAATGTAACATATATCATAAAAGAATAAATCAAGCCTTCTGATCATAGAGTCAACATTCTCGTCTTTTCTTCACCCTGAAAACCCTTGTGACACCAGTCACACTCATATACCTGTACAAATCTCTCTTGGAATTTCATATCTCTCACCAGATTCAACTCTAGGAGGACCTTGTTTATTGACCTATCCTAGTGCACTAAGTGGTGTTCCTGTGTCAGTTGTGTGCACACACTTGGTGCAGCCCCACTTCACCTTGGTTTGGTTGGTTATAAGATCTCTATTTTCCCCATCATCCTGCATCCTTTGCTTGTGAAACGTGACCACCACCTTCCTCTATCATCATTCTTTGATTAAGCGTTCCCCAAGCTGATTGACCAGCCTCTTGGCAAAGATGCTGTCACCCATGTAATTTCAGGTGGATCTTGTTTCCCTTCACCCTCAGTTTTTGAGCCTTATAGGAGGTTCTATAGATGTAAATGCTGCACAACCACTTGCTCATTTGCAGGATCTGTCTGCTTCTTCTCAAGTTCTTCCGCTTCATCAGCAGCATGAATGAGATATCACTTGTCCACTAGACTTTGGCCAGCACCCTGTTAACTGTGTAGTCATGCTTGGTAAACTCCTGGTCTCCCCTGGCTGTGTCCATGGTGCCTGAATGGAAGAGCAGCTAAGGGTAATAGACTAAGGGCCAGACTACTACCAGCCTCAGTAGCAGTCAGTCTGTGGTATCCAGGACCCAGGCATACTTTGCCAGGTGACAGGTTGGGCCAGCAGAGGTGTCTTTGTTCCAGAAGCTGGGACCCATTGCTGTTCCTTACCCCATGCTGTTCCTCATACCCAGTATGGGTACTGCTGCAGGACTCAGGCACAGATGGCTCAGAGGCTTTCTTGGACAGAGCTTTCTGTCCATGTGTGCTGCCAGGGCTCAGAACCTGCTCTGTAGGTCAGAGCTGCAGGCAGAACAGGAGCTGTCCTCCTGGTGCTGGAGCTCAGAGGCTTGACATGTCTGGTTGACAAGCTGAGGCTCTCTGTCTGCTTCTCCTCTTGTGGTGGGGGTTTCTGTGGCTGCAAGAACTTGGTGGGGATCTGAATGATACTTGAATGGGAACACTGTTACATTAGAAAATAACAAGCAAAGGGTGATTATAAATAACACAAAGGAGAAGTGTGGAAAAATGGCAGCTTGTTTGAGCCTGATTTTGATTAGACATCTAAAAGAAGAAGAAAAGAAGACTATGAAATTTGTGAATAGTATTAAGTAAATTTTGAATGCATTTGAGGACAGTCAAACATGAAACAAGTAAGCAAAACCCTTGGAAACAGAAATGTTTGATAAACAAAATTTTAGTGGAACAGGTAGGAGCTGAAAGGAATGGAAAGAAACCATCAGAAATGGAACAAGATTCCTGAAGCCTAGAAACTGGGGAAACTAACAGGTAAGAGAGTAGATTGGGATTATGTGTGCAATTCAGTAATAAAATATGTGTATGAAAGTAGTCTGACAAAAAATAACAGTAATAATCCCATCATAGTTGTGCTGAATAGTGGTTTGGACTTAGTGCTGTGTTGTTGAGATCGGTTTATGAAGTTCAGAAGTTCACATTGTAGGACTTGGTGAGGTTTCTTCAGTCTAAAACAAAAAGGAAATCAGCCCACTAAAGAGTAAGGATGGAAACCTTGATGTTTTAAATGTGATTAATAGAAAATGTTTCATTGTGTGATATTTTTAATAATCTATGTGAAAGATGTCAGGGTAATTACCCCTTTCTTGGTTGGTTTGCTGTTAATGTCATGAATGACGTTTTTTAAGCAAGGAAACCCTGAATTCTTAGTGATGTTTTTGACTATTTTAGCATAAAAGCTTTAAGAAAACAACCATGAAATACGGGGGAGACTATAATAGATAGGTGGGGTGAATCTTTGTGGAACATAAATAATTCCCTATATTTCTTACATGCTTTACAACCTTTTTACTTTGATGAAAGTTTTCTTTGCTGCTGCCACCTGACTGACAGTTGCTGTTTTACCTATTGCTTAATAGTTTTCCCAGGTAGTGGTTTTACTTGCATCTTGGTGATAAATGTTGCTTCTTATCCAGATATATCTAATTAATGAATTCATAAAATGTTTTGCATGGTGCTTAAAAGAATGTATGTGAAATGTTTTTAAGTTTTTATGTAATTCCTTAAATCAACAGTTGATAGGTTTTTTTCTTTCTTACTTGAAGGTACGAATTTGAATGTATGAACCGTATAGGTTGCACTATGCTAGTTAATTTACTCTTTTTTAAAAAAAATTTTTTTTATTTATCTCTTTAGGATTATCGTCCTGGATTGTGACAATTTATTATCTGTTTGTGTTCAATGGGGCACCGGATTCACTTTGTGGTTGACCCTCAGGGTTGGTGCTGCATGGGCCTAATTATCTTTGTCTGGCTGTACAATACAATCTTCATCCCAAAGGTCATCCTTTTTCCTCATTATGAAGAGGGAAATATTTCAGTTGTAGCAGTTTTGTGTAAGTAATTTTAACTTTTTTCTACTAATAAAATAATGCCTCTACTTAATGTACATTAAAAAAATCCTATCAGAAAATAAAAACTAGGGTGAAAGTAAAGACACAAGGTAAGATAAAGGGTAAATGTAGTGGATGCGTCTTACATTTTTGTGTTCTGAGAAGCTGCAGCATTTCATTTTGCAAGTGTTATTGTAGAACTTGTTTTTGTGGAAACTGGTGAAAAGGCTGAATATAGATTTCAGGTCCTGTACTTAGAACTTGTTGACAGGATTTCAGGTTCACATCTGTGAGTGCCTGTCAGAATTTGGTGTGATAGTAGTGATGACTGGCAACAAGCTAAATTTTGTTTGTTTTGTCATATGTCCCTGTGTGGGTTAGCACATACAAGTTTGGCTCATAGGTTTGCTGGGGAAAAGTCTTGAATTATGGCTGGAACAAACTTCAAGGTGAAGATGCACTATTGGGAATATCTTCCATATGGGGGCTTTGAGGTGTGATATGATTGGTGCTTGTGTGGTAAGATGGTGGAGGAACTTCTGAAAAACAGTAGCATGGTCATAGTAGCACCTGCTGGTGCTATCAGAACTGTTTACTACTTTTTTCACTCTATTTATTGGGGAGTACTTAATGCTGTGTACTTAATATCAGAAATATATCTGGAATTGAATGAGGAGGCTGAGTGTTTTCCAGCTCAATTCTGGAGCATCTCTATTTTTCGATACAGCGTACTTTGCACATATGGAAAAGTCTAACAAATGCTTATTTATTTTTTTAGGTTATTACTTCTGCTCATTGTTTTGTATAGCTTCGTTATTTAGAGCCTCAGTAGCAGATCCAGGAAAACTACCTGAAAATCCAGAGATACCAATTACAGGTACATTAGCTTGATTCTATGTAATTGAATGAAAGTTATTTTAATAGCCTCAAAATAATTAGGAATAAATTTGTCTTTGTGAGACTTATTGGAAACCATGATCTGTCCATGCTGAATAAAGTTACTCTGTCACTGTTTTAAAGTTGTAAATTTCTAGCACTTTTCCTTGTGTAGTTTCAAAACTTCTTTTTCTTAAACTTATATTCTACCAGAAATTTTACCATTCTTCTGTTATGTAGGACCTTCTGCTAGAAATTTTTTCCACAGGAAGATTTTTTTTTTGAATTCTAGACTTTGAAACATTATGCATATACTACAAACTTGATAATATTTAATGAAAAATGTTTTTCGATAGCTAGCTATTTTAATTCTTTATCTTTTGTCTTAGTAAATTTATATGATGTTGAAAATGGTGTTGGAAGGTGGTCCTATACTGGTTTTTACCTATGTATTTTTTGCTGGTTTTTTTCCAGAGTCTTATGATTGTATGGGCTGTTAACAAAAAACATAAACCATGGTGCTAGTTGCACTGCATTTCTATAAAGTAGCGACTTAATCGATCCTTTCTGTCCTTGCAAATTTATCCCATAATTCCTGTATGGTATCCAATGCTCCAGAAGTTGGAGGAAATTTAAAACCTTAATGATTCTCCACAGAGAAGGACTGTATTTTTATGAACTGTTGGGAGCTATTATCTAATGCATAGAGCTTTTACTTAGGAGTTTAGAATGGAGTAGGGCTGTTAAACAGCATGAGCTTTGTCACATTAACAGATAACACTTCATGAATGAAGAAAATGTGTCCCATCCATGAGGCTGAATGCTTCAGTCTTGTCTTCAGATGTAGTGAATGCCCAGAATAAAATTTTGCTCTCTCTTCCTGATGTTACTGAAAATCTAGGATGATGTGTTTGGAGACATGATCTTTTTAGCCTTAGTGCTGATGATATGATGTGCATGAAGTAGACAGTTTATTGTAGAAAGGAGTGTATCTCCCTGGGAATCAGATGTCTCACCACTAATTGCAGAAAATCTCATGCCAGTGTTCTTTCTGCTTCTGGCAGCTGATCCTTTGATCCAGTAAAACATCAGGTGTTTCAGACTTGGGTTCTGGAGTCAGCAGTTTTGCTGCAGGGGGAGCAACATGGATTTTGCAATCTGACGTGGAGAGTGGAGACCCTCGCTAGTTACAGACAGTTACACTTATACTGGAGTTTTCATTTACCTTCAAATTACCAGGAGCAGTGCAAATTCCCTTTGCACACAAAGGGTTTTTTCTAATTTAAGGTATCTCTTTGTATAGCTCTCCAACCTTTGCATGCTCCATTCAGTCCATACGGCAGTCATGCTTAATAAGTACTTCCGAAGGTGAAATGTTTAGGCTCGGTCATGACTTTGATATTTTGATTTGGTGCCTGATATATCAGGGTATTGTACTTCTGGAGGTAGTGCTTCAATTGTCTGGTGTGCGCTAGGCTGACAGGAGGATACATTTTTGCATAGTATAAATTGTGTTAAAAATGAGTTGGGGTGTTTCTGAACTCTGCTGGTATCTACCCTATTAGTGAGTGACACCTTTGAGACACTGGATTTATGCAAACAGATTGTAAATCAGTTTCCATCTGTCGTTATTACTAGTTTAATGATCTCAGATATTGGGTTTCTTTACTTCCAGTGTCCAAATGTTATTTTGCAGCAAGAAAGACCAGATTAGAGCTGCCTGCAGGTGGCTCAGAAGTGCTAAATATAACTTTATTTTGTTTACATTGGGACAGTGTTTTACAGTATAAGATTTCAGAATGTCCTACTGTAAATATGAAGCTTTTTTTCCTTTTTTTTTCCCTCTGTCCCTGAGATATGAGAAATTTTTGTGCCTCAAAAAAGATTGTTTAGGTAGAAACAATTTGAACAGTCAAAGTATTTCTCAGTCATCCACATGTTTTCCTTAAAGACAGAAAATATATGCTTTTGTGACTGGAATTATTTCAGTGTTAATCTTTTTGTTTCCCATGTGAAGATGAAATTTTTGAACATATGATTTGAATTTTGCTTTTCAAAGAATTCCTCTTATTTGGGTGGTGCATTTGAGATAAATAATAGCCAAGCTGAGCAATAGTACTCCTGGTACCTTCAGCTACTCTGTATCTCTGGATATTAGCTTTTAAAGAATCTCACATTAGTAATTTAAAAATAGTATATATTTATATATACAGCCCTATCCTTGATCTCTTTCTTTGCTTGTCTTATATGTAAAATTGCATGTGGTGATATGCATGTTATTAAAAGGCTTTGAGATGGAAGATGCTCCTGAAGTGTTCACTGTGTGTCATCTTTTAGTTAGCTAGCAGTAGCAGTATTTCCTCAGGGGATTCTGGAATAGCAGAGATTGTATCCTGATTCTGTCTAGCAGATAATTTTTTTCGCAGTAGAAATGTAAGGAAATAATTGAGTAGCAGTCTTCCTTGTCTGAATCACGGGTTTCTTCTGTAATAATTACTTTGTAGAAATTTATAGGAAGAGAGGGCATTTTGGAGACAGAAACTGTCATGGAGTAGCAGTAATATCTTCCAGTTTAATTAAGGTCACAGTGGGAAAAAGCTTTTTATGTGGTGCTTATCCTTCTCAGATCATAGTAAGATTTGTTTTTTTAATTAGAGTTACAAGCATACAGATTTATTATGAGTACACATTACTGAGTTTAAATCTCTAATGTGTCTTTACATTTTCACCTAGAAAGAGAACATTGGGAGTTATGTAACAAGTGCAATGTGATGAGACCAAAGCGTTCACACCATTGCAGTCGCTGTGGACATTGTGTGAGGAGGATGGATCACCACTGTCCATGGTAAAATCAGGACATTTCTTCTAATTATCTACTGTTTTAGTGAATCATTCTGAAATTTGTGGTCTTGACTGCTGCTCATTTTTCCTGGTTTTTCCCAGTAGTGCTTAATCATTTAGGCATATAAAGCAAGGAAATAATAAATTTGAACTTTCCTATTTCTACCAGTAAAAATCAGAGTAAGTGAAAATAAACATTTTTGTAAGAAGTTCTGAGTTTTAATTTTTACAAGACAAACTGCAGAGTACAGAAATGACGTCGGGATTCTCTTACGTTGGTTTAGCCATTTTTCAAACTATCTTTTTTTGTCAAGTTTTTCTACTTCAGAGAATAGTACTAGTATAGTGCTTTTGTCACTCTGGTTTTGCTTGTTGTCTGTGCCAGTGCTTGTATGAATTTGCTTCCATGTAATTTTTGATCTTGTACTTAATACAGATAGAATCCTTGTGTTTCCTTTGCACTTTTCATGTTGGAGTATGCAGGGGTTTCTGAGTATGGATGCCTGTATTGTCTTCTGTGCCTTTGGTTCATTTTTAAGTAATATTTCTTTGTTACTGGGTTAGCCTGTGATCACATTTATTTTAAAATATTTGTTTGCATTTTTGCACTCTTATAGTTCACAACCTGTGAAATGTATTGAGTAGCAGAAGATAAGACACATTACTGTGAAATTTCACAGACTTTCAAAAACCATTTTATTACTAGAGTTTTACTTAAAGTTGCAGCAGTATCTTTGCTATATACAAATACAGAGAATTGTGTCTCCTGTTCTAAGCAAAGATCTCAGTAGTGCAACCTATGCTTTAAGCTGTATGCAAGGGATCCAGTAGTTTGCTCCTTAAGCAATCATAAAGTTTTCTATTCACAGTATCATAACTTTAGTATTTGTATTTCTGTTTTTATATATGCACACTTTGTTTCTCTACAGGATTAATAATTGTGTTGGTGAAGACAATCACTGGCTGTTTTTACAGCTGTGTTTCTACACCCAGATCCTTAGTTCCTATACGCTGATACTTGACTTCTGCCATTACTACTACTTTTTGCCTCTGAAAAAAGAAAACTGGGTAAGAACCTATTTTCTCTGTGAAGGGAACAAATAGTACTGCATTGTAATTTGTGTTGGCTTTTAGTTACTGCACATTTTTGGTAGCTCAGTTTCACTCTTAGTGAAGAGAGTTCAACTAACTGTATGTTATTAAGTAAGCAAACTGATTTATGGTAAGTAACAAAATATTTTTTGAAAGGGCATATAAGTTCTTTGTGTTAAAAACACAACATTAGTTCTCTTAGGAATATAGGAAAGGAGGGAAGAACCAGTTAGCTTTCTTTGGAAGTGATTATCAGTACTGGAAAGAGTTAAGGTAACTACTTTAGATGTATTAAAATTTCCTTTTACTTTTTCCAAAGTAGATTTATGCAGACTATATATCTATCCTAATATCATGTTTTAAAAAACTGATACTGCTTTTTTAAAAAAGAAGAAAAACACATGATCATGGGGAAAAATATACATTGGTTTTGTAGCAGTATTTTCTGTTGCTTTGAAAAGGTTATGTGGGTTAAGGGAGAATTAAGTTTGGTTTGTTTCATGTGGACTTACCAACTGGAGTAGAGTAAAAAATCAAGGACTTCCTTCCCCTATGAAACTTACATTGTAAAGCTGCTATCTGGTGCTCATTTATGCCTATTATCTGTAGTATTCAGAATATTGAAGGTGGTTGCTTGAAATTTGCTCAGTGCTTGAAAGTTCTTTCTTTATAAGAAAACTGTTATGCTATCTTGTTTATGAAGAACCATAAGAACTTCTAGCTTAAATCTAAAATGAGCTTTGTATTTGTACTGGACTATAACAAATATAAGTACACAAAAGAGAAAAGCCTAGAAAACAAGTTTAAAACATTTTTAAAATTAGGTAACATTCCAAATGTCATAAGAGAATAAGATAATCTCAGATATTACACTCTAAATTTTGTTGAGATTTTTTCCAAATACTGAAGTGCAGAAGATTTTTAAATTCTGTGTTGATGTGACACCCCAGCATGCTCTCTGCTGGTGATCTCATACTCATCTTTCCAGGCTACTGAAACCTGACCCTACACTGTGGGTAAGACAGAAAAAAAAAAATAAATCTCCATTTTTTTGAACAACTAAAGTTTGTCGTATGATTTTGTATCCTATGTTATATGAGAATTTCACAAAGTGAAAAATTCTGCTTCTGGAAAAAGATGCGACATAGTCTTCCAAGCTTCTTATTTGTTCCTGTGTCAGTCTGAACTGGGTGTGATGTTCCCATAAAAGTGTATGTGAAGATGATGTGGGAAAGGAGAGCTGAAAGTGTAGGAAGACTGTATTACTTGGTTAATCCAAAACTGATAAAAGTGCTGTATTCAAATTCATAAATACCAAGTTTTTATTTTGTAGAATGTTCCAAAGCTGAGGATTTTTGTAACTTGTTCTTGAAAGAAATCGTATTCTAAAGGAATTTAATTATTTTTTCCATATACATCAATACTTCTATTTAAATAATTAAAGGGATTTTAGAAATATCAAACAAAAAATAATTTGCTGTCTGCTTGGAGTATCTTTCCATAGGCACTAAAACAGACTTGTTAGCCTCTAATAGTATGTCATGGTAGGGTATTTCCTTTTTATTGTGAATATTCCCTGAATGCATTGTTTCATGTAATTACACTGTATTAGGTAACATGCCAAAGTTCTGTCTGTTAGCCTTGCTTTTTAAAAGTAGCGTGAAAAGTAACCAAATTATTTGATTGCGGGTGGTCTGTGCAAGAGAGGGAGATGGAAATCATGCTTCCTTCAGATACTTTACAATACCTAAGGAGGTGATGGTAAATAATTATTAATAATGATAGTTCAAAAAAAAGTGTGAATAGGTATAAAACTTGTTCTTGCCAGTATAACTGGATTCATTTGAAGTTGTTTGGAGAGAGGCCTAATTTTAATGCTCCTGCTCCTTTGACAGGTGACAGGTTAGAAGGCAGAATACATGTGCAACAATTATTTTAACCCATTTTAATGTGTTTCCCTGAAGAGGGGATCAGGTTCTTGTATTTGCCTGCCTAAGTTTACAGAGAACTGTGGAAGAAATTGCTTACTTTTCTCTGTTTAGTTAATTTCCATATGTGAACACTTCAAATGGCACTCTTCCTTCTACAAAGTGGATCTGTGCTATAGTGTACCGTATTCTGTGCCCCAGAGAGGAAAAATATGTTTATACAATATAGAAAAACAGTAGACACAGCAGGTCTGGGCTGTTAAGACCTTTGTTAAGTACAGTGTAACACTAAATAGTATTTATCTTTCTCAGTTTTTCAGCTGTAGAATAGGAGAGCACACAACGAAGTAGAGAAAACTAAAATAGTTGTCATGCTAGTCAACATATCTGCCTGGAAAACAACACCAGAATTCCATTAAGCTGTTTTTTTTTTAAGTGCTGCTAAGGATGTGATGCTCTATAGATTTGTGCCATGGAATAATTTGTCAGAACTATGTCTTTTTGACACCAAAGGAACACGACTGATGAAAAGATTGGCTTAGTAGTAGTTAGGGTTTTAGGCAAGCATTCTGCAAGATTCTTTTTATCTCCTTTATATCAATTAAAGTTGAGGTACCACAGCATTCCAGAGAGCGCGGTACCTTCAGCCTTTCATAAAAGCACAGTTCTTTGTTGAAATTTTGGCTGTAACTGGGAGCTTACATTTTCTAAATTTACAGGGGCTAGTGTTTAGAACAGATTCAAAGAACTGGATGATTTTTTTTTCCAAACGGCCATCTGGAATAAGCTTATTCTCGCTCATTAAAATACTTGTGAATTTTTTGGCAGTGTGCCTTCATCTACATTTTTATTCTTCAGATATAAAGTAGTACAAAACACAGAAGCTGTAGAATTAAAATTGCTTTTAGTGCTATTGTGAAATGATAATTTTATTACAGTACTGATTAATGCATTATGCAAATTTGACCAGCATGTTAATATCACTTTCCAAATTTGAATTTGTGGGGTTTTTTTAAAGGGTCAAGAAAGGATACCCCAAAAATTTTAAATTAACTATTCTGAGTTAAGGGTGAAAGCTCTAAAGGTAATGGAGGAAGCTGTTTCTGTAGAGATGCAATCTTTCAGCTTCACCTCTTACTGCAGAAAATTGCTTCATAGTAGTCTTGGTTCTCGTAACATACACTGCCAGAAAACTTAGGTTATGATTGTTACCTCTGTTTGTCCAGCAGGAGGAGTGCAATTACTGCTAGAAATAAAGGAGATGATAGTTAAATTGATTATGTGGGATGATAGCACAAGACAAAATATATTGTTTGAATAAAATCAGCATATTAGTTCTTCTGCAGGCATTGGTGATTTACAGAGGTTAACACAGGAATATTCTTAATTTTACATCTTAATGAAAAAATGTCAGGAAGCCTGTATATTTTAGGAAGTAGTCAGTCTTCTGAATAGTGAGATGAGAAGGACAAATACTAGACTTACCACTACATAGTTGCTCTCTCCATGGCTGTGCTGGCACAGATTCTAGATACAGCTGGTCAAATTGCAAAAGTAAATGCTTTGGCAGTATATTTTACCTTATTTATAGAAGGCTTTTAATCTTTTAAGCAAAAGGAATTCTGCTGATACATTCTGTTTGCTAGAAATGTTGCTACAATAATTGTCATAGCAAAACTTCTTAACATACAAAAACCTAGGCCACTTTGCTCTGATTTAGTTTTATTTTGTTCCTGTTTCTGCAATTACAAATCATTGCCTTTGCTTTGGAAAAGGATTTTTTGCAGTAATATTAATATTATGCATTGACTAATATTAATGAAAATCTGGAAATATGTATTATCCAAAGTCCATTTATACTGTAAAGGGAGTCTAAAGGAAACTTTTTCTCTTAGAATCACAAAACTATGTATCAGACAGGAGAGATTTTTAAAATGAAAAACATCAAAATTTTTCTTCTCAGCATTCTGCAAAGCCGACCCAACCCTGCTGTCCTACACTATGGTTGTAAGGACAGTACATTTATATTGAATTAAGTCCTTCCTGTTTCTTTCTACAAAACCTGCGGTCTGCATTTTTTAGTTTGCTTTCTGGAAAGCCTGGCTTTTTTTTTGTATTATGCACTACTTTCGCGATACCCAAGTCAACAGACTGACTTCATTTACAACTGAGCACAGACAACCAGGTTATCATGTGTTACACAAAATATTGTTCACCAAGAAAAAAGAGGGCTTTTAATGTATTTTCTTGTATATTAATCTCTATGTGTGTCATATTTCAGTAAAGAATAAAGATTGAATAAATAAATCTTCCATTGTAAATGAAAAATTATGAAGATGATCTCTTCTGGAGCAGATACAATAGTTCTGTGTTTCTTGCCAAAAGCCCTGTCCTCAGGACAGTGTGCTGCTTTAAAGGAATACTATAAATCCTTGAAAACAGTAACACAATAATGCACGTGGCAGGGACTTGTTATATGTTTTTAAGCTTTATTTGTTGTTGTTGTTGGTAGGGGACAAAGAGAGTTGAAGTTGGAAGCACTGGTCTTATAATGGACTACAGTCTAGAGCTGGACCCATTGTGGTTTTTGACCTCTCTCCTGTATGATAGCATAAAGCCATGGTAGCTGTTGTTCTAGTCAGTGGTAGCGTTCATTGTAGGGGTTATCTATAGTGGTTGATGCTCACAAATGGAGATGAGGCATGTTTTCTGCTGTGGGGTTGAGGAAGTCTCTTTATCTGTCCCAGAGACTTTCTGTAGAATGTTTTGGTATTGTCTGTTGAGATAAAGATACCAGAGCTTGTGGTTTGCAGTCCATTTTTCAACATAATCCTATAGACCTACACATGTTTTGTGACAAGTTCTTATTGTTCACATTTCTATGCATTCTTATGGGTAACTAAGAATCCTTGCAGTTTTATGGGATGGATAGAAGTAGCAGCTAAATGGAATTTAGAAACTTTTAGAACAGGCAGCAGCCGATGGGGAGTGCTGTGTGGTGTGGTATAGAAAAAGTAGAAAGGCAGTGGCAGCAACCCATGTGAACATGAAGTTTTGGCAGACCAGTTAGGCTGTAGAGCTGACATAAAGAAGATGAGAAAGAGGCTAGCTGAAGGAAAGCTCTCATGTTGTTAAGAATATGCTTTCAGCATCTTCTTATGCCATATATGACAACCTCATGTAAAAAAATGAGGCTCAATGTAAAAAAAAGCTGCTGTGGAACAAAACCCTGTTGTGCTATGATAGCTGAATGTTCATGCACTGGTGATGTCAGCTAATCTGTGTGTATGCTTGGTGGCTCAGTCTGTACAGTTCTTTCTGTTAGCAGAAGTAGCCTGCACCTTAAACTCCAAAATCACACTAACTCAGTACTCACACTGCACTAAGACTGGTGAATACTGTAGAACAGGAGGATCTGTTCAAAACACATTGAAAGAGGGATTGGTTTATTGACTAGTTTTGACTGATTATAGATTTGATTGATTATAGTTTTGATTGGTTTTCTGATCTGAAAAAGAGTTACTAAGTTCTAAAAAGGGATAATAAAACCAACTTGCATTGAGCTGTCATGCAAAGCTGCAGCAGCCTGAGTACATTATTATTATTACTATTGTTATTATTATTAATTTTCAAAATGGTCTTTTCTTCTGTTTTCATAGAGTTAAATATTTATATTCCCATGTAGAATTGTATAATTCATTCTATTATTAAAATCTGATTACCAAAAAACTCACTGCATATACTTTGATTTTCTGTAGAAAAATGTTGTTCTGTCTGTACAGATTTGAGTGCCCAGTATTGATTTCCAGTTCATAATTGCTTAGGAATTAATTTGCTAGAGATGTGGAAAAAGAGAGAGGGCCTATGGGAGGAATATAGGAGTATGGACAGGGAATGCAGGGATACAACAAGGAAAGGCAAGGCCTGTTGGAATGAAGTCTGTTGAGGGATATCAAGGACCACAAGAAAGGCATCTACAAGTATATCAGCAACAAAACAAGGATTAGAAAGATCCCCACCAATGTGGAGATGCTGCTGAATCTAGATGGGTAACCTGGTGACAGAAGACACTGAGAGGGCAAAGTGAATTCCTTTTTTGCCTCAGACTTCACTGCTGAGGCCATCCTTCAGGAGTCCCAGACCCTGGAGGCAAGAGAGGAAGGCTGGAGAAAAGAAGATTTGCCCTTGGCCACTGAAGGTTTGTTTAGAGATCAGCTAGGCAGACAAAACCACAAATCCATGGGCCTGATGGGTTGTACACACAGGTGCTGAGGGAGCTGGCAGATGTTGTTGCTAAGCCCACTCTGCATCTTCTTTGAAAAATAAGGAAGAAGTATTTTACAACTAGTAGAAGTGGTGTCTTGCTTTTCTTTAAAGCTTTCATTAGCTAATGGAAAGGGAAATAAAGAATAGTATGACTGCTTTTACTATGAGTTGATTTGTCTTTGAATTAACTCATTAAATGAGTAAGAAGCATTAAAAGAAATGGAAATTAGTCTATTTTCGACAGCAGCAAGAAAGGCCAGTATAAATAAGTGAGGGGAGAGGGGATGAACCATTACAATAGTTCAGAAATGACTGTTGGGGATTGTTTTTTGTTTTTGCTGCTTAACTAGTGCTTTCTGCTTGTTCATTAAATACTGACTTTCTTCACAGCTTTAGTAGGCAGTTTAAACTTTTTTCCTGGGTGTGTATTTTGGATCTTCATGGAAATTACTTAAATGAAAAATTGGTTTTTTTTTTTTCTAAACATAATTTGCATTAACTATTCTCTGTTTAATTAAAACCCAGTATCCCTCTTCCTCAAGTTCTAGTGGTTGAACATAAACCACTGTGTTTATGTTTATGTGTTTAGTGTTGGGGGAGAGAGGGAGTTGTTGTTGTTTTGTTGTTGTTTTTTTGGTTGGTTGGGATTTTTTTTTTGTTTTGTTTCATTTTTTCATTCAGTTATCTTCTATATTCTGGTTGTAACATAAAGTTCACTTGAAAGGATTTAATACTTTCCTGCCATGATCTAACTTCTGTAAGTGAAAAAACCGATGTTTATATTCGAACGACAGCTCTGAGAACATAATTATAACTTAAAAATAAAAGAATGGGGTCTGAACTCCCAGTACACCTCATGTAACTGCCACGTAAAAATGTTCTTCTGTGATAAAAATAAGGTGCTCTATCCTTTGAAGATATTGCATAACATTCTGTAATACTTTTTTATTTTCTGCTGGTTGAGAATAGACTTTCCAATGCAGCTGATTGAATACATCCATATTTCTGTGTGCCCTGAAGCATCTGTACTGTTCATCCTTATCCAAAGTCACAGTAATCCACCTCAAGGCCAAAATTTAAAAGTTGGAGATAAGTTTATATTGGATAATAGATAGCACTACAGTAAGAACAATCTAGTAGGGGTACTTGGACTTTATGGGTACAATCTTCAAGTGTCAATTTTGGAATGTTTGTTTTCTTTCAGAAGAGGTGATGTGAAAGTGAAATGTGCTGTGCCTGGTAGCCGAGGTATAATAAACCAGACCATTTAACAGAGTAGTTTTCCTGTGTTATATAGCTTGTGTGTAGTAGTTTGGCACAGTTTGAGGTGGAAGATTCAGAAATAATCCGTTTGAGCTTGATCTATTTCCAAAACCTTAACTACTTGAAACAGTCTGGCAAAATAAACTCCCAACTGTTAACATGTATTAAGAAAATATTACTGGTTTCTGCTTTTAAAACATAAATAGACAAATGATGTGCAATATAGCTCAGAATCCATTAAGAATCCATCCATAAAGCCTTCAGCTTTAAGGCTTTGAGAACACCTCTTACAGCTTATTTCCACTTGGTTCAAAGACTTTAATTAATTTGTAACTAAATTAAAGTCTCTCTCTTCTTTTTGTCTTGTTCTAGGATGTGTTTGTATTTAGACATGAACTTGCTCTCCTAAGAATATCTGCCTTCATGGGTCTAATAATATTAGGTGGAATAAGTCGACTCTTTTACACTCAGCTAATGGGTATTTTCACTGTAAGTATCTAATTTGAGAAGCATATATTAGTTTTATTTTCAGTACAATTAGTCAAAGCAGAAAAGTGGATTGCATTCAGGGGAAGACTAGAAAAACACTTGCAGTATGAGGCACTTGTTTGATACATGGTTTGTCAAGCCTCTTGACACCAGTGAAATCTAAGAAGCTTTCTGACAAAGAAGTGTCTAATAATTCCACTTTCAAGTCAGTTTCCTGATTTGTATTAGTAAAATGGACTCATACCTTGTCCTGGAATTGCACAGTGTACAAGATATGTAGTTGATTCTTGGTTTTATTTTAAACTCTTGTGTGGCCTGGTCAAAATTAATGTGACAGTGAAGCTAACTGATAAATCAAATTTTGAGAACAGACAGCATCTTTGTTAAGTATTTTGATAAATATGCTTATGTTCATCTCCTTATTTGCTGAACTATGCAATGTAATTGTGCTGTTTACAGTCCAGGTGGGTATTCTGCATTTAGATATACTGAAAAAAATATCCTCTGCATGGAAAAATTTTTCATTTAAATGAATTTGATAATGTAATAAATACTTGCAAGAAACAACCTTTATTTGGTCTAATATCCTGTTCTGTACATTAGAAGTTAATAGCTGCCAGCAAATTTTTGAAGTTGTCTTGAGAATCCATACAAATGTTTAAAATATTGTTCAGCACGACAGAGAGAGTACATTAGTTGGCTGTATACATGTTAAAAGAGTCTGATGTGGCCTGCTGAACATTTTTTTAAAGGCAGTAATGTACAAGATGGCAGCATATTTTCGGCTACAACTGTTGGAGATCTGCCTGAGATTTTACTTTGGAATTATGAAGGTTTGCATAGCATTAACTTTTCTAGGTCCATAATGGAAAACCTCCCAACTGTATGGTGTAATTCTTTTGTATTGGATAAAGGAAAAAAAACTACAGTGTAGTTTTAAATTACGTTAGATAAAGCAATAATACTGCTTTTTGGTTTTACTGTATTACCTTTATATATTTACTGCCTTTTGCTTTTTCTGTCATGGTAGTTACACTGTCTATTATTATTACCATTATTACTGTCTATTATTATTACCATTCCCCAGCTACTCTACCATAATGTGTTTTACACATACTCTCAAGCCCCCAGCTCAACAGATTTACCTTTGTGCACCTTTACTGTGTGCCTGATTTCTGTTCTGGGGTCTTGCTGACAGGTCTTCTCTTCTCTTCTCTTCTCTTCTCTTCTCTTCTCTTCTCTTCTCTTCTCTTCTCTTCTCTTCTCTTCTCTTCTCTTCTCTTCTCTTCTCTTCTCTTCTCTTCTCTTCTCTTCTCTTCTCTTCTCTTCTCTTCTCTTCTCTTCTCTTCTCTTCTCTTCTCTTCTCTTCTCTGTTTAAATGTTGCCTTTATGTCTGCATTATCTATGGCTGGGATGTTTTCCTATACCACTGCTATGGTGGCTGTGTAGCTGATGTGGTGAATTCTGCTCACCAGTAACAGGTGAGACAGAGACAAATACTTAGTGAGCCTAATTGTTAGGTACTGAAATATGGATGTTTTTGTTTCTGTTAAGTGGATATATATATATGAGAAGGATCAGAAAACTCATCTGATCAGTACTGCACTAAACCATAGATAGGATACAGAAGAAAACAAGAAAACCAGACCCTAAGTTTATAATTTTGTTCTGTGTGCTGCCAGAAGCTGGACGAAATTTTAGCAGTGACCATCAGCACCTATTCAGGTACTATTGCTGGATGTGAAATATGACCTCTCAGACTGAACCTGTTTCTGTCAGATATACCTGAAACCTGGGCTGTTTCTGTTCTGACACAGGATACTAACTGCACTGCCACTGTAACAGGCACGAATGCCCAGTTGTAACTTTGCTGTCCTGAACCTTAACACTTTCAGGCTGCTGCTGCCACTGCACTCTATTTATAAACTGCTGTAAAGTCTTTTTTTCTCTGTCAGTTGTACGTACCATGAAGTACATCCTCTTCACTTACAGAGCTGGCAGCTACACTGGAGCAGGTGTGGGGTATAGCATTTTTACCTCCAGTTTTTCTGCTGAAATTATAATCGTTGAGCTGCAGTATGCCTGGACAGTTTTTTCTGTTGTCTTTGCTGAGCTTTGTGAAACAAGCATGCTACAGTAATTGTGGATGTGGATGGTCTATGAGAGGCAGATGCTAAAAAGTACAGATCTTCATTAGGGCCTCTTACTGCACCCTACCTGTTGCCTCAAAAGCAGAGGGGCTATTGTCACATGGACAAGTTTTTAGGCTTTATGGGATTGCTGGGGAGGCAGAAATCCATTACTGGTGTATCTCCAATATTAATTCTTTCACACTATGTGGATGCTGTTGCATTGACTCACTGAAGAATGTAGGTCAGGTAGTCCATCCCCCACTCAGAGCATTTCATACCAGCAGCACAATTGTCTTCTCCCTTTTCATTCCTTTCTTTGCAAATACAGAATTAGGAAGAATAAGTAATATAGTTGTTTTGAGGAAATCTACTTGGCAACAATTAGACTTCAAACAAACAAAGCAAGTCCGTTTGATGCAGTTGTGATTAGTCTGAAAGTGGTGTAAGAACTGAAATGAGATCTATATTAAATGTGGAATTTGTGATGAAATTAACTTACTATAAGGTATAGATTAAAACTTGATAGCAGAACCCAATCATGATAGTGTAATATGAAGAAAAGCACCTTGAAACAAACTTAAGATGCTTGGAGGCATGGATATGCAGGTAAAGCATTCATATCATATGAATTGCTCCATGGCTATTCTTGAAAGCATTAATTTCAGTGATTGCTGAAGCTGCCTAGAGATGTGTGTAAGGGACAAGAACATGGACCTTTTGATACAGGCAAAGCAATTCTTGTGCTTGTATGGGAGACACAAAACATAATACACATTTTTGTAGTTCATGCTCTTGTGCCTCTTTTTTGCAGTTTAATATGTACCAAGATTAATTCCACAGCCCCTGGAAAAAAAAGCTGGTTTTAAATAGTAGAGACAGTAAGTGTTGCAGCTCTGTGATCTAAACTTTGGCGGGTGCAAACTGCTGCTGAACAAGTCGAGCAGGTTAAGGTTCATTGGTGTTTAACATTACAAGTGCTGCAAAAATTTTTGGAAAGAAATATAAATCTAAGATTAATCAAACGTTAACTCTTTTGTAACAAGACTGCCTGCTTTTCCATAAGGTAAACTTGCTTGACCGTCATTACATAATTTTCCAGAAATGAAGCCAATATCTATTAATATTGGTAATATCTATTTCAAGGTGCTTCGAAAAAATATGCTCTCTGGTAAAAATGAAAACTTTGTAAGCTGTGTACTAAAATTTGTCTATTACAGGGAGAATGTTCCTGAGGCTGTAGTGCTTGATAAGGTGATTAATAGACTAAGTAACCTACCACGCAGTAATTTCTCTGAGTACATTTGCCACCACTGTGATTGTGGTATCACTGTTAGGGTATCATTAGCACAAGGCTATTCATAACTCATTTGGAGGTCCAGGAAGCCAAAGAGCAAAGGAGGTGACTTCCTACAATGAGAGGAGAACAGCTGGTTGGCAAAAACTGTCCTTAGAGGAACTTTTGACATGAATTGTTCTGATGAAGAGGGGAGCAGCTGAGGTGGCCTCTGCATACAGGATTAGTGCTTTCTCCCTAGAAACTAGCATATGTGAAACACACTTCTGTCAGAAGGGGCACATGGCTCTTTTTGTCCTCTTTCCCCAGTTGCTTTCTCTGAGCTTTATTTGCCTCTAATTTTGTTATCATCCTGAACTTTGATACTTCTTCTAGCATCTACTTTAGATTACTCTTGGGGAAGTTTTATTTGGATACTTTTGAAATAGAAATATCTAGGTTCTCTCTAATTCATAAGTCTCTGAAATAGGGAGAAATTTAAAATCCTAGTTTAGAAACTCTAGGACTCTTAAGAAGATACTCCTCTTAAAATCTCATCAACAGTTAGTATTTTTACTTAAAATATTCAAGTTTTTCCAGAGCTGGATGGAAAAAATTGGTTTCACCCATGAATTAAAACACCGTCAAAGGTAATTTCCAAAACGATTATGCATTTATGTTGAAGGCATGCCTGCCTGTCTCTAGTGCTTGTTACTTCCTTTACCACTCCTCCATTTCCTCTCATTTCTTGTAGAGCAATTTAGAATGTTATGTTTCTTAACTGAAGCCTCTGTTCTTACATTCTCAGACAGCCTGATTTTTAAATGGCATTGTTTGAAAAGCAATGAGAAGCAAACTTTTAAGTAAAACAGAAACATACCAGAAGAATTTGTGAGTTGCACCTTACAACGGTGCAACTCTTTTACTCTCCTACAGAAAGTAACAATTTTAAAGATTATTGTTACTCTTTACTTCAGGCCTCCTTTAGCTGCTTGTACTCCACAATTAGTCTTTGGCCTGAATCACTACAGGTAACAAAATAGCTCCAGTATAGACACTTAAAGCTCCATGAAGGTAGAGCTGTGGGTTTTTATTGGTGCTTTGTCGTAAGTCATAGAAGTATGATTTATACGTAAATTATCACTTTGTCCATTTCAGACAGTTTTAAAATCTTCTGGGAAAAAAAATACAAGACAAGCTGTCTTGTGCAACAGTTGCTTGCGTGTATTAATGACATTGTATTAAAGTGACAAAACCAAAGTTTATCTAGAGTATTTTGCACTTAAGCTAGAAGAAAGTGTTGAGAAAGATGTATCTATATTACTAATTTTTATTTCCATTTGCTTTTTTTCATGTTGTTATATGAAATAATAAAATTTATGGGGAAGCTAAATCAAATAGTACCCAGAAACTTGTTTGCTTTGCCAAAACATATTTTCTTGACGTGTGTTTTTCAAGGATTTTTCTCTTATTTTTATATGTAACATTTTTTTTTTCTCAAAAGCCCCCATAACATGCCTATTTATTCATTTATTCATAGGAAAAGGCATAAATTCACCAAGGGAAAAAAGTGTGTTTTATCCACTCCAGATTGT